GGGCAGTTCTGACTCTCCTCCTCCCACCCAATCTGAGCTCTCGTTACAGGTGGCAGGGCCTTTATCTAGAGTGAGCTTCCCAGTGTTGCCGTATAACAAGGTAGTGTAGTTCAGCAAACAGAACTGAGCTTTGATAATAATCAGGATGGTGAGTATTAGCCCTAGGCCATGAACTAATTAATATTTCCTATATACTCTTTTTTTTTTTTTTTTTTTATTTTTTTTTTTTTAATTATGTGATAGTTTATATGGGAGAACATTAGTTTTACCTTTATACTATCGTATATTGTTTCATTGCCATGGTTACAATCCCCTCCATGTATCATCAACCAATCAAAGAGTATACCCTACAAGCCTTCCCTCTCCCCCCACCCCCCCGGTCATCAGCACACAGCCCCTTTCCCTCTCTGTGTCTAAAGTCCCCAGCTGCTCCATCTCTCGACGTCATCATCTCTGCCTCCATCTCAGACCTATATACTCTTTAAATGCTCCCAAAGCTTTTTAAGAGGGAGGTGCCTTGAGTCCTGTATTATTGGTGAGGTTCAGTTACTTGACCAGAGTCACATCTTGAGAGCACAGTGGGCCCCAGGCAGGCTGGCTCTAGCTCTGATTGTTTCACCACTACTTTAAATTGCCTCTTCTGTTGACTGGCTACTTCTAACTGATAGAAGAAAGATGTGAAAATGCTCATGTGTTTTATGTATTCAGGTCCCTGGGCGATGCAAATGGTATCCTCTGAACTAACAACCTAAAAAGGGAGTCCTGGTGTGGCTCTGTAGGATAAACACTGGACTGGTAACCACAAGGTCGACAGTTCAAACCCACCAACCACTCCTTAGAATTCCTATACCAAGTTGCTATGAGTCTGAACTGACTCAACAGCACTTATCAAGCAAACAAGCACTATGCTAAAGATTGGTGGTACACACTCACCCACTGGCACCATGGAAGCAAGACTTAGAGATCTACTTCTGTAAAGATTGTTGTTGTGAAGTACCATCAAGTCAATTTTGATTCATAGCAACTCTTGGTGATTGAATAGAACTGGGATTTCATTGTTGTACTCTTCCTCCCATGCAACCACTAGGTGGGTTCGAACCACCAACCTTTAGGTTAGTAGCCAAGCACTTACCCATTTGTACCACTAGGTCTCCTTCTCATAAGGATTGCGGCTAAGAACCCTCTCTGGAGCAGTTCTACTCTGTAACATGTAGATGGCTGTGAGTCTGAATCAACCTGACGGAACAGGTTTCGGATGTGTGTGTGTGTGTGTGTGTGTGTGTGTGTGTGTGTGTGTGTGTGAGTATGGTCCTGTTGTTGTTGTAGTCAGGTGTCATCAAGTCGGAACCGACTCATAGCAACCCCATGCACAGCAGAACGAAACAATGTCCGATCCTGGGCCAACCTCACTACCATTGCCACACTTGAGTCCATCAATGATGCCACCTGGCCAATCCATCTCGTTGGGGGTCTTCCTCTATTTCTCTGACCCTCCACCCTACCCAGCATGACATCCTTCTCCAATGATTGTTTCCTCTGGACAACATGTCCAAAGTATGAGAGACGAAGCTTAGCCATCCTGGCCTCCAAGGAGCACTCTGGTTGCACTTCTTCCAAGACAGATCTATTGGTTCTTTTGGCAGTCCATGGCACTTTCAGTATTCTCCTCCAACACCACAATTCAAAGGCATCAATTCTTCTACGATTTCCCTTATTCACTGTCCAGCTTTTGCATCCATATGAAGTTATTGAAAATACCGTGGCTTGGGTCAGGCACACCTTAGTCCTCAAGCTGACATCTTTGCTCTTCAACACTTTAAAAAGTTCCTGTGCAGCAGTTATGCCTAATGCAATACATCGTTTGATCTCTTGACTGCTGCTTCCTCGAACATTGATAGTTGGTCCAAGAAGAATGAAGTCCTTGACAACTTCAATCTTTTCTCCGTTGATAAGAATGTTGTTTATTGGTCCACTGGTGAGGATTTTTGTTTTTTTGACATTGAGATGCAATCCATACCGAAGGCTTTGCTCTTTGATCTTCATCAGTAAATGTTTCAAGTCCTCTTCACTTTCAGCAAGCAAGGTTGTATCATCTGCATATCACAGGTTGTTAATGAGTCTTCCTCCAATCCTGATGCCACATTTTTCTTCATAGAACCCAGCTTCTAGGATTATTTGCTCAGCGTACAGGTTGAATAAGTTCTCTGTCAATGTATGATTGTAGCCGTTTCTGTATTACCTTTAGCAAAACTTTACTTGCTTGAGATATCAAAGAGATTGTCCAATGATTTCCGCATTCCATTGGACCACCTCTCTTTGGAATGGGCACAAATAAGGATCTGTTCCAATCAGTTGGCCAGATAGTTGTCTTCCAAATTTCTTGGTAGAGGTGAGGGAGTCTGGAAGATGAACTTTGTCTGGAAGCTAGTCTGAAACCTGTCCACCATGGGTGACCCTGCTGGTTATTTAAAATACCAGTGGTATAGCCCTCAGAATCACAGCAACTCAAGCCACCACAGTACGACAGACAGATGAGTAGTGGCCGTGAGTATGGTCCTAGAAGCATGGAAATGAATTTAATTCAGAAACTCTTTTTCCCAAGAGCATCCATTTGCCAGTTACCTCTGTATGGACACGTGCTATCATCTCACAGTGCCGTGCCATGATAGAGACTGTTCGTTTTGGCATTGTTGTCCCACCACCCCTTGATGTCTGGGTGTATCAGTCAGCCAGGGATTATGTAGTGGTGACCCACATTAAGTGTCAGATGCTGTGAGAAGGAAAGGACGTGAGCCCATAATACTAGTTGGGGGAGTCAAGTCTAGTACAAATAATGAGAGAAAACTATAGGATAAATATTTTTAAGCTTGTAGAGACAGTATCTGCTGTTGAAATTTATATTTTCCACCACCTTTTCTGTTTTCAACATTGGGCTAATTCCTTTCCAATAACCAAGTGAAACATTTTTTCCCATTTAGAGTCTAGGCCACTGAAGCGCAACTGAAGCTTCAGTAACTTGCTGCAGGTCCCAAAGCTACTATGTGGGGGAATTGGAATTTTGACCTTGAGTCTCCTTCACTTTGCATGACCCTTTGCTGCCTCCCCATGTGTTGTTGAATCGGCTGCAAACACTCCCAGGTTTGTGGCCCCTGAAATGGCTCCAAAAAGCTCCTCCTCATCTCTGATCGTAATTCAGCTGTTTTCCTTGACTCCACTTAGCTACAGCTTCTGGAGCCAAAAGCTCAGAGGAGGAGGAGGAAAGTGGTTGGGGCCATGGAGCATTGGGGTGAGGGTGGGTAAGGCCAAACTTCTTCCTTCTGTGGCTACCAGAGAGGCAGCCCTAACACGGGAGCCTTGGGGAGTGCAGGGAGACACAGCCATGCTCACACCTCTTAGGACTGATGTGGTCTGTGAGTCAGCTCGTTTTCTTTGGGGTGTGGTGAGAAATACAGTGTGCGAACTAGGTTGGAATTATCTAAAGCCAATCTCTGAAACTTCACTTTTTCCTCCCTCCTGACATTCAGCTGTCATCTCAAGTAACTGTTTTCATGATCTGGAATGTGCCATAGGTCCAGAAAATGGGGCAGAGGGAGACAATCCACAGTGTATAAAAATAAAGTAAAGGCCAAGCTTGCCATGGTGCTGGGGAGGGAAGACTTTGGTAGTCTGCCTTTTTCTTTTTCTTTTTTTTTTTACTGAGTAATCATATTTAATACTAGCCACCCACCACCCATTTAGTTTGAAATACTGTTCTATAGGACAACTTTGTGGGAGAAAAGATGTTTCAGACTTGTCATTTACAAATACTTCAGGAATTTTCAACTGCCAACCATAAGGTTGACTGTCCAAACCCACCAGCTGTTCTTGGGAAACCCTATGGTGGTGGTGGTTATATGATAAGAAGTCGGTTCCAACTCAGAGACCCTGCACAGGGTTTCCAAGGCTGTAAATCTTTTACGGAGCAGAAACCCTCAACTTTCTCCTGCTGGTAGTTTCAAACTGCTAACCACTAAGCTACCAGAGTTCCTTAGGAAACCCTCTATAGGGTCATTGTTGAGTCAGAACACATTCAGTAACACTTAACATAGGGTCACTTGCCTTGGAGTCCTGATGTGGCACTGTAGGGTAAGCACTGGACTGCTAACCTAATGTCAAGCATTCAAACCCACAAGCTGGCTCCTTGGAAATCCTATATAGTCAGGACTGATAGCACTTAACATAAAGTGAGTCACTAGTTAGGTTACAAGTGTCATTCAGAATGCCTACCAACTGACATCAATAACCTCTATGATATACTTATTATTGTGCTGAGTCAATCTGACTCACAACAACCCTATTGTTGTTAAGTGCTATCGAGTCGGTTCCAATCCATGCATAGCGACCCTGTGCAGGGTTTCCGAGGCTGTAAATTTTTAAGGGAGCAGAAAGCCTCATCTTTCTCCTGTGGAGCAGCTGGGAGTTTCAAACTGCTGACCTTAAGTTTCACAGCCTGATTCGTAACCACTATGCTACCAGAGCAGGCTCCCATAGGCTATTATTGTCAAAGGAACAGATCAACAGGTTTGTTCCATCCTAAGAGTAACCTCTCGCTTAGCCGTCAAACACTTAACCACTGCACCACCAGGGATTCTTTGAGGTAGCTTGTAAGTCCAGTCTGTCAGCTTGGACTCATAGCAACCTTGCATAGGGTACTTAAGGTGCAGCTGGTGGGTTTGAACCACTAACCTCATGATTCACAGTCCAATACTTATCCTATAGCATCCACCACATCCAGAGCTTAGAGGAACCCAAACTTTCATCTTGTTCTCACATGGCCCTGGGTCCAAAAATCACAGTATAAAATGACAGTGTAAGTTGGTCTATCAAGACCAAGTAGTTCATGCTGAAAGGCTAGTTCTTGAAGATGTACAACATAAAAGAGTATGGAGGCTTTAAAGAGAAGTAAGCCTTTAATTCTTTGCTGCCAATAAAGTTGGCTGAGTTGGTGGTAGCTTTGGTGACTAGTCAAAGAGACCAAATCCCATATCCTTGTCTGACTCCTCCGACTCTTCCTTTGCTTCAACCTTGGCGGGGGCGGAGGCAGCAGCCACAGGGGCGGCAGCCACAAATGCAGACGGATCAGCCAAGAAGGCCTTGACCTTTTCAGCCAGTGGGAAGGTGTACTCAGTCTCCACAGACAAAGCCAGGACCCGCTTGTACCCATTGATGATGGAATGAGGTACTGAGGCCACAGTTGGGTAACCAATCTGGAGAAACACACTGGCAACGTTGCGAACACCCTCCAGGAAGCGAGTATGCAGAGCTTCCTCAGTGATATCAAGCACTTCCGGGTTATAGATGCTGCCATTCTGGTAGCGTAGTGGTTACGACTCGGGCTGTGAACCGCAAGGTCAGCAGTTCGAAACTACCAGCTGCTCTGCGGGAGAAAGATGAGGCTTTCTACTCCCGTAAAGATTTACACCCTCGGAAACCCTGTACAGGGTCGCTATGAGTCGGTTCCGACTCCACGGCACATAACAACAACAACAACATTGTCAAATACCTGCTGGATAATCAGCCCAAAGGAGAAGGGGGAGATGTTCAGCATGTTCAGCAGGGTGGCTTCGCTGGCTCCCACTTTGTCTCCAGTCTTGATCAGCTGCACATCACTCAGGGTTTCAATGGTGCCTCTGGAGATCTTTGTGGTGATGCCCAGAGCCTGGAAGAAGGAGGTCTTCTCCGGACCCAAACCAGTGTTCTGGGCCGGCACAGTAACCTCACATGGGGCGATGGCCCCAGCACGGGCGGCAGCTGGCACCTTGTTGGCCAGCAGCATGTCCATGATCTCAGTGAGGTCCTCCTTGGCGAACACAAATCCCACATTGCCCCGGATGTGAGGCAACAGTTTCTCCAGAGTGGGGTTGTTTTCCAGGTGCCCCCGGGTGGCCTTGCGCATCATGGTGTTCTTGCCCATCAGCATCACGGCCTTCCTGCGTAAGGACATGCGGATCTGCTGCATCTGCTTGGAGCCTACATTGTCTGCTCCCACAATGAAGCATTTTGGATAATCATCCAAAAGTTGTATGATCTTAAGGAAGTAGTTGGACTTCCAGGTCGCCCTGTCTTCCCTGGGCATCACGACGGTGCGTCAAGGATTGCCACGCGGGGTTTAAAGACGATGTCACTCTCACGAGGACGCCTAGCGAGAGCTAGTCTGCCTTTTTCTGTCCCAGAATTCATTCACATTTCTTGTTGACTCACTAGACCACAACTACTTGTTTTGTAAGAATCCTCCAGGAAACATAAGACCATGTGTAAGAGGCATGCCTTGTGTTTTTTAAGTTCTGAACCCCAGCAGACAAAGGGTTGAATATAAAGTGATGGCAGTTTTTATGCTCAGAGTTCTTGTATCTCCCCTCGGTGATGCAAGAGTCTGCTTGGGGTCTTCTGACCTTTGTTTTTGCTCCCTCTCATCCATTCTGCACTTCACAGTCTAAGTGTGCTTTCTGAAATGCTAGATAATGTCCAAATGCTAGATACATGGCCCACATGACTTGCCTACTGCTCACCCCAACAGCTCCTCTTCTTCTACTTTATGCCTAACATAGGATGTGTCAGCTTCATGGAACCAGCTGTAGTTCCCAGGAAATACAATGTTCTCTTGCTTCCAGGCCTTGGTACCTGCTATTCCCTCTGCCCACCCTCCGTATTCACTCAACCCTACTTGTTCTTCAGGTCTCAACTTAAACATCATTTCCTCCAAGAATTCTTTCTGAACCTCCAGTGTCTGGTTTGGGAGTTTGTCGTAGTGTTCTTATAGCACCCTGGTTCCCAGTATCCTGACCCCTTCCTTGCTTAAAGTTCATAACTTGTTTATTTCTACTTCTGCCTTGAAACTCCGAGAGGACAGGGGCTGCATTTTCACCAGTGTGTACCCAGGATCTGGCTCTGCACCTTCCTGTTGTTGATAATAAAAGCTCAGTAAATATTTTTGGAAAGAGTGAATGAAATCTACTAGTTCCCTGGCTGAGTGTCTAATTTAGCTGTGATCTCCTCAACCTATAGGGTTGGGGTTAATTTTATAGGTGACAAATGTCTTCACTAACTTTCATAGCTAGTAACTTGTTAACCAGAGAATTCGTTCCTAAAGTGTCAGAGTTGGTGAGAAAGCAGCAGATAAGAGGTATGGTATGTATCATGGTCACATAGAAACTATTTAAATTTAAATATTAAAAAGTAATTTATCACCCAATGCCACCAAAATTAGTTGGAGGTGGAGTTGGGGGAAGTTTGTCCCAAATTGCCTTGAATGCTCCTGAGTGGTACAAACAATTAACACACTTAGCTGCTAATCAAAAGGTTGAAGATTCAAGGTCCCTCAGAAGTGCCTTGGAAGAAAGACCTGGTGATCTACATCTGAAAATCAACCACTGAAAGCCATATGGAGCAAAATTTTACTCTAATACACATGGGGTCAATGTGAGTTGGAGGTGGAATCAACTCAGCAACAATTAGTTTTTTTTTCTTCAAGGAGTTAAGTTGTTGTTAAGTGCTATTGAATCAATTCCAACTCATGGCAACCGTGTACAGATGTCTGAGGAGCAGCTGGTAGGCTTGAAGTGCCGATCTTGTGGTTCACAGTCCAGTGTGGATCCTACAGTGCCACACCTCCAAGGAGTAGAATCTACAAAGGCCCCAAACAGATTCACAATAAGGGACTGATGGGGTGGGGTTGGTTTGCTGGCCCTGGGTCTCATATGGCAGGGAGCACAGTCTGTACCCCTGGAAGGTCAGAAGGCTCTTCTCAGTCCCTGTTCTCAGAACAAGAAACATTCTTATCATATTGCATGTCATAAAACATGAGGTCACTACTGACCAAAACATGTCTCATGTCTGTCTGTCCTTGTGAACTTTTTAGGGCATTGGTTTGGCTTTTACCAAATATGAAGACACCACCTATATCTGTTAAGTTGGATTTTGTGGGTGTGGGCTAATAACTGTTTTCCAGAGAATCCCATCTTAGGTGATTTACTGAGCACTTTCCAGTACACAGAGTAGTTAGAGTAGTAATCTTAAAAGCTGTCTTCCATTGGTTTCTGACTTAATTTTTACACTGTGATAAGAGGGCTATTATTATCCCAGATAAGAAGACAGAGATTTTGAGAGTTTATATGAGCTGTGCAGAGTCCCATGGTCATGAAACATAAAGCAGACCAACCACTTCTACCTTCCTGTTGTTAAATGCTGTTGAGTTGGTTCAGACTCATAGTGACCCTGTATAGAGTTTATGAGGAGTGGCTGGTGAGTTTGAACTCCTGACCTTGCAATTACCAGTCCAGTACTTATCCTACAGTGCCACAAGGGAATTGATTTTTCTGGTTAACCATTGCTATGTAACAAAGTACCCCAAATCTAGTGGCATTAAATGATAACCATTTGATGCTCACAGATTCTGTGGATTAGGGAAATCAGAAGTGGGGATAGTGTGGTTCCATTTCCAGAACCTCATCTGGGGAGACTAGAATAGTGGGAGTCATTCAGATGTCAGGCACCTGGAAACCCTCTGGAGACTCCTTCACTCACAGGCTAAGTTCAGCTATGACTGTCTACTGCCGTACCTACACATGACCTCTTCATGTGACTTGGGTTTCTCAGATGTTGGTTTCCAAGTGGAAGCTTCCCTAGAGCAGGTGTTCAAGAGCCATAGGTGGAAGCTCTGTGGTCTTTCTGGCCTATCCTGGGAAGCTGTGCGGTCATTTTACCCACATCCAACTGGTTATGAGCACATCAGGCCAGCCCAGATTCAAGGGTAGGGGAATTACCAACATCATTTTTAAAAGAAGGAAAAACTGATCACTAAATTTATATGGAAAGGAAAGAGACCTCAGGTAAGCAAAGCCTTGCTGAAGAAGAAAAACAAAGTTGGAGTCATCTCTCTGATTTCAAAATTTACTACACAGCCACAGTAGTCAAAGTAGCCTGGTCTAGTATAGTGAAAGATATATATAGATCAGTAGAACAGAATCGAGAGCCCAGACATAAGTTCATCTACATATAGGCAGTTGATCTTTGACAAAGGGCAAAAACACATTAAATGGGAAAGAGGTAGTGTCTTCAACAAATGATGTTGGCAAATGGAAATCCATTTGCAGGATGAAACAAGACCCATATCTCATACCTATACAAAACCAAAACAAAATGGATTAAAGACCTCAGTGAAAAACCTAGAACTATAAAGATCATCATTGAAAAAATAGGGACAAAGTTAGGATCTCTGATACATGGCATAAATATACCATCAAACATTACAAAAAATACATAAAAGAAATAATAGATGACTGGGATCTCCTAATAATTAGAAACTTGTATGTATCAAAACATTTTACCTAGAGTAAAATGGGTTCCCACAAACTGGGAAAAAATGTTTTCGCAGTGACATATCAAGGGAATAATCTCTAAAGTTTACATGAAACTAGAACACCATCTTGGTTAATGTGCCAGACTACAAAGCCATTTGAACTGCAAGGTTGGAAGTTCAAGCTCACCAGCTGCTCTTTGAAAACCCTACACAGAGTCAGTTTGGGTTATAATCGACTTGACAGCACTTAACAACAAAAACACCTCTACAAGAAAAAGACGACATAATTAAAAATGGACACAGAACAGTAACAGATACTTCACCAAAGAAGACATTCAGGCATCCAACAAACATGAAGACATGTTCTTGATCACTGGCCATTGTTACATGCAGTTGAGTTGATTCCTACTCACAGTGATCCTTTATAGGGTTTTTGAGGCACAATGGTGAGTTTGAACTGTTGACCTGAGGTTCAAACTGACCTTGCGGTCCAGTGCTTATCAAATTAAAGCGCCACACCAGGACACTCATTAGATGCAAATCAAAACAACAATGAGATATCATCTCACACCAGCATTAATAGCAAAATTTTAAAAACTAAAAGCAGATCCTGGCAAGGGTGTGGAAAGACTGTGATCCTCCTATATTGCTGATGGGACTAAAATGGTTCAACTACTGTGGAAAACGGTGTGGCACTTCTTCAGAAGGTTGAAAATAGAAATAACAAATATGACACAGAAATCCCTGTACTTGGTATATCTCTACAGGAAATAAGATCCAAGACATGAGTAGATATATGCACACCAATGTTCATCACAGCTCTATTCACAATAGTCAAAAGATGAAGACACTTTAAATGCCCATTCATGGGAGAGTGGATAAACAAACTTTGCTGCATACACACACTAGAATACTATGCAACGTTGAAGAATAATGAAGAATCTGAGAAACACCTCATAACATGGATGAGCTCGGAGGACATTTTGCTGAAGTGAAATTAGTAACAAAAGGACAAATATTGTATGGGATTTGTTGTTGTTGTTAAATACCGTGGAGTTGGTCCCGACTCATAGTGTCCCTGTACAGGGTTTCTGAGGCTGCAAATCTTTATGGGAACAAAAAGCCTCATCTTTCTCCCATGGAACAGCTGGTAGTTTTGAACTGCCAACCTTGAGGTTAGCAGACTGATTTGTAACCACTAAGCCACCAGAACTCCTTATTGTATGAGAGCACTATTGTAAATATTCAAGCCAAGGTTTTAATACTAAAGAAATATTCTTTGATGGTTACCAGGGGTAGGATGGAGGGGAGAATAATTCACTGGCTAAAGGGTAGATACATGTTAACTTGGGTGACCAGGAGGACAATAGACAAGAAGAGGGAAGTTGGCAGAAGAATGATGAAGATAGATGAAGACACAGGGAGGTATATAAGGGCTAAACGGATAGAGGTAAAGAGTGATATAGACACAACTTTGGAATAACAGTGTTCTGTGTGTGTAGATACATGGACAGAGACACGGACAGAACGGGTAAGGGAGGAATATATATACAGGCTTATATCCACAAATTTAAGAGTTTGAAAGAGAATATTTATACCTGGATAACCACAGGGAGGAAGCAGGAGAACTTGTGGCATGGAAGGGTTTGCAACTATTGAGACAAACCACAGTGGCGAGTTTCTTGAGTGTAAAACTGCTGATCTTGTCTATAAACCTTCACTCAAGTCATAATAAATTTTTTTAAATAAAAAAATGATAGGGGAATTAGATTCTATCT